TCCAACTCGAAAATCCAACTCGAAAATCCAACTCGAAAATCCAACTCGAAAATCCAACTCGAAAATCCAATTCGAAAATCCAACTCGAAAATCCAACTCGAAAATCCAACTCGAAAATCCAACTCGAAATCCTAACTCAAAAATCCAACTCGAAAATCCAACTCGAAAATCCAACTCGAAAATCCAACTCGAAAATCCAACTCAAAAATCCAACTCGAAAATCNCAACTCGAAAATCCAACTCGAAAATCCAACTCGAAATCCTAACTCAAAAATCCAACTCGAAAATCCAACTCGAAAATCCAACTCGAAAATCCAACTCGAAAATCCAACTCAAAAATCCAACTCGAAAATCTAACTCAAAAATCCAACTCGAAAATCCAACTCGAAATCCAACTCGAAATCCAACTCGAAATCCTAACTCGGAAGTTAGTTTGTTTCAGTTATTATTATTAGTTATTATTAAGTATGAAGTTCAAAAACAAGAGTTTCTGGGCAAGTCTACCAAAGCATTGTGATTACGTGTATCAACACGCTGAGTTATTAACCAAAAATTTATGAATTCCTTCATCGAGGCAAATTTTGCTCGTTAGAGACTAAGAATGGTCAATTGGACCGATTTATGGCGAAAAAGAAAGTTTTGGAGAAAATTTGTGCTTTTCTTTAACCCTTTGAATACCAACTACACATATATGCGTAATTAATGGTCGTGCTCTTTGTACCATCTTTTGCCATCAGGCTCTTTGGCACTTCCATAAATGATTGAGAAGAAAATAAAAGAAAACGGTGAACATTTTTCTGTTTGAGTTTGCTACTTTTTCAGCGAAAAATGAAACCAGTCTAGATGCCGGTCTAGATGGGAAAATCTAGATGGCGGTCAATATCGATTTCAGCCTATCAAATTCGTGAATTCGGTAATTCCAAGTCCTTGTGAGACACAGTCATATAATAAAGATAGATATTGTTTGTATTGCTAAGCAGTTGAAAGCACACTTGCTTTATGCTGGACTCTTGTCTCCACTCTCGTGGTACTTTGGGCTTGTAGACTGCAATACTGGCCTAAGATACACTCCTTCCTGGGCGCAGGGGAGGGAGAAAACTAGGCTAGACCAAGCTGCTCAATTCCGATCTCAAACTGACCAAAGATTATCTGAAATTTTGTTTACTGCTTGTAGGGATGGAAACTTTCATACGTACTTGATAACCGCGTAAACTCTTTCATGCACGATTATATCTCACTAATTCGCCCCCACTGTTTCCCTGCGCACTACACTTTCAGTACAACCGAAGAGATTAAAGTCGTGAGCTTTTAGTATATGTTAAACACCGACAAAACAAGGCTCTTTTTATTACACGTCGAGTTTCTTTCCTTTTCATCTC